CAAACTTGCAACAATCCTCCTGCCTCAGCCTCCCAAGTGCTGGTATTACAGGCATGCACCACCATACCCAGCTTAATCTGTTCTCTAAAGAGTCAAGAACCTCTTTCTAGAATACACAAAATAGTATTTCTAAAGTATTTCAAAATAGTATTCCTCCCATTCAACAAATCCCCCACTATCTCCCCCACTTTCTGTTACTCCACAGGTCATCAACTTGTAGGTAAAAGGTTTTTTTTAGATCCCATTTGTATAGGTTTCAGTTCGTGATAAATTGGTCAGCTTGCTGGGGTCTTATGGTGGGAGCATGTTTCAGGGAGCAGCTGATCACTTCATGGTCAGGGTAAGAAAGAGGAAGTGACTCTGGTCCCATGTCCCCTCCAAGGACACATCTCCAATGAACAAAAATATCCTGTGAGGCCCCAGTTCTTAAAGTCTCTAGAACCATGAGCTGGAGATCAAGTGTCTGTCAGACAGAACTTGAAGATAGTTAACTTCCAAAGCCGAGCAGCAAGCATTAATTTAAGGAAGTAGAAAACAGTGATTATCCATTTATGGTCTCTGTCCTATACAACTTCAGTGACCTTGCAGTCATTAATTGGTTTGTCAAGATTGATTGGTTTCTAATATTTTGGGCTGAGTGACTTCTCTATCTCCACACTTAAGCTCTATCTCCACATTTCCCGCATTTCAGGATCCCACATTTCAGGATCATACCACCTTCTTCCTCCCATTCAACAACTATTATTGGTCATCTGTATATGGCAGACACAGATCTAGGAGGTAGGAAGGATCATGGTGGAAAGCATTCAAATATATTTAGAACTTACACTCTGGCATTCCAGTGGAAGGAAACCAGAATAAACAAAAGTGTATATAATGAGCAATTGATAATGGTGAGGACAAAAACTGAATCAAAGAAGAGAAGAGAGGCCCTGTGTATGGGGACTACAGTTTTTGATACAGAGGAAACTTTACAAAGCCTCCCTGAGCAGGTAAAATTTGAATGAGTAAGATAAAGGTCCAACAAGCTATGTGAATGCTGGAGGCAAGCATTCCAGGAAGAGGGAGTCCAAATATGTATTTTTGAGATCTTCCAATTATAGAAAGAGGCTGGTGTGTGAGAAAGAGAAGTACAGAGGATCTTAAGTCAGAAATGGACTGGGGTGGGGAGGGGAGGTGGAATTTCGTATGTCACAGAGAAGAATGTGGTTTGTACCCAAAGAGCAAAGAAACACTGTCAGTCTGGGCAGAAAAGTAGCATGTTCTAACTTATAGACATACTATTCTTTGCTTCAAAAAGATTATGTTTCAGAAAGGTTTGGAAAAGAATACATACACATATACCAGACATCTGCATATGTCTGTATTTATTTTATAAAGATATTTGTATTATATGAACTTATAGAGAGGTTAAATTTTTTACAGTGTAATGACATTTTAAGACAATCTATGAGACTAGCAAGCATGTATAAAAAACAATATACATGCTCTATTTTAATGGTAGAAAACAATTACTGTTGATGCATTTTGAAAATTACTTTTTAATGCTCATGTATTACACAACAAAGTGGCTACTTTGGAGCCATAAATCTTAAAGGAAAAATGGCTTTTTTTGCAAGTATCCAGCATTTACATGAAATAAGGTTGTTACCCTGTATAGATTTACTTTTGCTAATATCAGTTTTAAAGCTAACAATCTTATTCCCACATTCACAGTGTGTTAACATAATGTGCATTATCATATAAATATGAAATGAACAGAAAAGCACTGTAGATAGGAAATTTCTGAATTTTGAAGTTCCATTTTTACAAAGAAACAACCAATGAATTAGTACTTTTCAAATGTGGTCTTTGGATTCCTGAGTTATGAAAACAATCTCTGTGATTTCTGGTAACTTAGTATCTTTTTATACTATCCTATAATTATACACTTAAAAATTATCACATTGTATGTCATTGAGGAAATACTTGACTTAATGATATATTTCCAATACTAGACACACATGGAACATCCTGAGATATACCCATGCTTGCCAGTAACGATGCCCTTGAGATGAGCCAGCTTAGTTATACTGGCATGATTGCATTAGAAAGGGTTAATGCCTAATTGTTTGATCAGTTTTACATGCCTATATGTGGTAATCTGAATAACAACTTTGAAGACAACAATATGCAATGTAACAACCATTGTTAATTTCCTATCATCTTGTTTTGAAATTCTGTATTATTTTTATGTTTTAATTCTCTTTAAAATTAAAAAATAAAATAATATTTAGTATAGTCCTCCCCCCAAAAAGAAAGGTCTTTTTGTTATGTACACCAATGACTCCATATTCCCATCCTAGTTGTAATTCTTAAGTAATTTACTTCATGAGGACAGAAGTCCTTGACTGGCTGGAGCTATGACCAGGGACTGATAGAGGCCAACAATGATGAGTGAAAAGAAAAGCAAAGAGTAATCCCTTGAGGAATATGTCTAGTTTTTTAGTTAGGTATATGTCTCCACTCTGCTTATGTTCCAGGTAGTCCATACAGAATCTAAAATTCACATTAAAGATCAAATCAATAAAGAGTATGTCCTCATAAAACCTAGTGGGGCTGGGTCTAGTGGCAAACTTTCTGGTGTTGTATGTTCCTGTATGTGTAGCTAAGTGTTTTATCTCACTTTTCAAACAATATCTCTGGGCTAATTAATGCCTAATTTGTTACTCTGGAACTTTATTTTCTATT